GACTGGTTTCCAGCAGCTTTGCTTAAGGAGTCTGCCATCTGCTCTTCACGTGTCCTCTGCTTTCTCCAAAAGCTGAGGTTTTTTGTGGGCTATTTTAGGATTTTTATATGGGCCAAGGTGATTTCCTAAGCAAAAGGGCTTTTACTAAACATTGGGCTTCTTAGTTTGGACTTTATTTTGGTTGGGTTGTTTTGCTTGGGTATTGGGCTACTTTTCTTTCTTGTGCTTACCCACATGTTTGGGCCTAAGAAACGGGCTTGAGTCTCGAGGCTCCCAAGCAACCCGAGACTTTCCATTTCTCGGTCCATCAATGGGTCTCATGTTGATTTATCACCATCCATACCACAACCCACTCAAGCAAGCCCCGAGTATTTGAGTGGCTTGGGGCCCACTTAAGCTCGTGGCGTGATTAGGGGCGGAATGATAATTCCTTGCTTAGCGTGGCGTGTCGTTTGGCGTGGCATGTGTGCAAGCGCATATGATGAACTTTCGCATGCCCAAATCGGGTTTCTTCTTGGTAAAGCATCACATTGGGCCGAGAATTTATTTGGGCCGAACCGTGAATATTTTGGGCCTTAACAGTTGTATTTCAAGGTTGTTGCTTTACGAACATGGGGTTTTTGCTCTGGGTTCCTAGGTTTGTTCCAAAATGTTGTGTTTTCCATTATGTTTTCAAGGTTGCTGGTTTATGAATATGGGGTTTTTGCAGTTATACATTTTTATCGTACCTATTATGCAAATGAAATATAGCTGTTAGCTTCCAGTAAGTGGTATGAACAGTTGTTATACCGTTCATACCCTGCAATCGAGTTGATTTCTATGACATAGTATTAACAGTGTACTTCTATGACATAGTATTAACAAATTTTCAGTAGCAAAACATGCTCTATATTTTGCTCATATAGTTGTGCACTTGAAGTTTATGATATGCATAATGTGATTTTCACTAGGAAGTTAGTTCTATGACACAGTATTAACAGTGTACTTTTTTTTTTCTTCTTGTAGAGGACCTTTGCGATTATTTCTGGTGAAACTATGGACATTTGGAGGTGGTTTTTACAAAGGATATCAGATATTTTGCTGGGCTTTTTTGAATTTTTTTTGACTTTTTTTGTATGAAATGGTATGAACAATGTTTTTCTATGAAATGATATTAATATTGTACTTCTATGACATTGTATTAATAATGTATTTTTATGACATGGTATTAACAATGTATTTTTATGACATGGTATTAACAATACATTTCTATGACATGGTACTAACAATGTACTTTTTATGACATGGTATTAACAATACACTTCTATGACATGGTATTAACAATGTATTTCGGGCTTGTTGGGCTTATTTTGGGTTTTTTTTGAGTTTTTTGTATTGGGCTTGTTTTAAGTTAATAAATGGCAGAGATGTAATTTATAGGAACTTTAACACTCATTTTTTAGATAGTAAATGGTTTTTGGGTATGTTTCTAAAGTCTATTCCATATAGAGTTTTTGTATAATTTCATGTCCTATTTTGGGTATATTACTAAAGCTTTTTTTTTTTAGATTGGTGGGTCCCACAATGAACGCATCAGCAGTTAACGTCTAAATAAATAGTCTACTTAATGGAAGGCTTAAATTAGTCATATGTGAAAACCATAAGATGTAAATTGATGAAATTGAAAGCCAGGAGCCCATATTGAGAATAACCCTAAACATCAATGGTGTGTTTCGTCGTTAGCCCTCAAATAAAATACATCATAAAATGTTACCATTATTGCCTGCAGTTTCTAGCATACTCAAGTTCAAGCATCTTCTGAAAGAGGAAACTGATGGACAATAAGTGCTGACATTATATATATCCGTACATTAGAAATTCCAGTGTAGGTAAATGTAATACCAACCACCCTCAATTGACTAGGAAACCAAAACAAAAAAAACAAAAAATCATTGAAATTAATCAAGCACTTTCTTTCACAAAGATGTGAGAAATACAGGTGTGCATGTCAGAAACGCCTTCTGCTTTCACGTTTAAAGATCACCTCTACTCTGCCTTTCTATTTACTTTCAGATATGGCAAGGCTCCAATCACATTGTTATAGTCACTTCGACTCACCTCATGCTGCACATAACAAAAGCCCAAAGTAACATAAGAAACCAAGGAGCAATACTAAATCTGAGAGATAAATAATCATATATCAATATTTATGCATAAAGTAACAGGGGACGTCTTGGCTTGAGATGTGAGCTGAGAGCTGGGTAACAGATGTGCTGTATGGGTTCTCCTTCACAGATTTTAAACAGTTCTCTCTTTCCAAAGAGTAAAACTATTGACAAAAAGGGTAATTTATTGCCTTCTGGGATTGAGAATTATAACAGGCCAAATAAAAAAAGAAGCGCAATGAATAATGATAATTGCTATGTGTAGCTGAAGCAAACAACAAACGAGATAGCAAACTCAAATGGACAGTGGATGAGGACGCAATCAATTGTTTCTCCAGAACAAAAACGTATCATAAATCCATTGAAAACTATCCACCACTTTTTTCACGCTATATTTGAGGAATTTATCTAGTTTATAGTGTCCAAGCAAAATGATATATTTGAGAAAAAAGACATAGCACAAATTCAATTAATCTATACTGTATCAAGAGACTACAGACAGAACTTCAAGAACAAGGTGCTGAGAAGTGAGAAGAAGCCAATTTTTGCTCAAGTTTCACTTGAACCTCAGGTTTTATAAGTAAGAAGCAAGTGTTTGGGTTCATTATGAGCCCTTAAAAGCCTTCTTATTATTCAAAACAGCATGTAAAGAAGGATAAATAGTCTTCACAATGCACTCATGGCAATATCAATATCATTAGATTCCAACCTCTTCCCATTATAAAATCCAACTTAAAAAACAAGTGCATCCAACCTGCTTGTAGATCTGCCCCTAAAACAATTGTATCCAACCATACATTCCTAAACTGTAACTCAAAGTCTGCATGTTTTAAACAGAATCATCCTATAACTTAACTATAGTAGATTGAAAACAGAAGGAAATACTGAATGGACATCTTTGATTCTCTAATATTGCTTCCAAGTCTATAATTAGAATGCCTTTTTTGGGCAGGAAAAGTTCATAGTTACTACAACTTGTAGATAAGGTTTAGAAACACACCATTTTGGATAGTCGAGTTCTCCTCTTGGCATTCTTCTTTACAAGTAAATGTTGCTTTCCAGCTCTCCTCCGGCTCATGCGAACTATTTTGCCTCTACCTGTCACCCTGACGCGCTGTGCCGAAGCCTATCAACAGTTATTCAGCATATAGTTAGATGATAAAACCAATAGGAGCTTATTCGAAGGCTAAAAATTAAACAACAGTAAATAAATGAAAAAGATTAAAACTGTCAAGTGTGTTCAATGGTCTAGAATGGGATTTGATTGGGAATTCAAACTTCAAGCTTGTTTTTATTTTTTTCACAAAATTCAAGCTTTCACTTAGGATTTTATTTTGTCAACTTAGAGTGCATGATGTTAATTGCCATCACTCCATCATCTTGGTCAACTCCATCAAGCTTTAATCAACTCTACCAACCTTCATCAGTCTCCATTGCACTATAATTTTGTTACTTGATTATGATTTATATTTGTCTTCCCTAAGTGCAATATATGTCTGTCCAACTCAATGAAAATATCAAACTATCATATTTCAATTACATCTCAAACAAATTAAAATTCAAAACTATTCCTTGTGTGACCTATTCTTTCTTTTCCAAAATTTTCTCAGTAACCAAACGGAAATAACCAAATTCCATGACGAAATACCTTGTGGGTCTTCATTTTGTAGCCTTTAGCAGAGACGATGGTGAGAGAAAGAGGCCTAAGAGGGCTTGAAGCAATAGTGCAGAGCCTGTGAGGAAGAAGCGAGGCCAACCCAGAAATGCTATGTGAGGAACTGAGTCTCAACGAGTTGGGCCTATTGAATTGAGCGAGTTGAACTGAGCCGCGAGAGAGCTGAGCCATGAAAGAGCATGATGGGGAATATCTCAGACCAAATGGAACCGCCGTGGCCATGGCTGCACAGGCCATTGTTAGTTTTTCTTCTTCTTCCGCTGAAAACTCTCACTCAGAACAAGTTGTGGATAAAGTTTGAGCGCTTAATTGGAGTCCTCATATCCTTTTGCGTTGTTTACAATTACAGGCAACGAAGGCGTGTGTTCATAGAGGGTGATGCGAACACAGCATATTTAATTGTTCGGCCCAGAAACAGTTAGGAGCCCAAGCCCAATTTGGGCTCTTGCTCCGGTACCGAAACTCAAGCCCAGTGATGTCGAAAGGTTTGGAATTATTGTATGGTATTGGAATATGGATGAAAATGTACGGTCAATTAAAGGAAGGTTGAAAAACTTAACGTCCGTCAAGACAGAGAATGAAGCCTTAACAGCATATTCAAAGAAGAGCAAGTTTTCTCCTTTTTTTTCGTCATTCGCTTGGGAAGGAGAGAGGGAGGGAGAGGAAAAGTATTATATTGGATTGCCCTCATGATTGTCTCTTACGTGAATCAAACCCCGATGCACTTGGGAATCCAAGATTCCAAATGTCATATGATTTTGAAAACAACTTACAAAAATAAATTACATAATCAAATACGAGGATTATCAACATGGTGTCCTAAATTTACTAAAGCATCCGCAACCATTTGTTTGAAATGGTGAAATAATACCTTTTTTTTCTTGGTGAATGATATAAAATACTTTAATCAATGTGAAAGGATGATTTAATTGTTGGCAGCCCCTCTTTTATCATTTGTGTACACGGTTCAATGATCGGTTTTTACAACAGATGCTGCTTGGAATAATTTTGTAGCCCTTAGTCCTAGAGTCTGGTTCATGCATGTTAAAGCATCAAAACTTATCAGGAAATAGGTCCGTACATCATTTTCGGGCATGAATTACAACTTCAGCACCAAGTGGTTTGGCCCCGTTCTATTTCTCAATTAACAGCTTCAGTAAATAGGTGAGTTTCGATTCGAAATTGAGCTCTGAACAAGATGGCTTTGAATTATCATGACCTTGTCAAGATGGCTATGGATTCCCACTCCAAACTACATATCACATCCTGTGCAACAAAATGTGGAATGTTAAACAACGCTTCTTCAGGCATTCTTTTATAAGATTAAACACATTCAAAAGTCACAGAAATCAGAAACATTTCATTTTGACTTTCACAGAGCACAAACTACAAATTGGTAGAATTTCTACTTACGGAAGGATATTGCCGGTCTATGTCAAAGCTGTTGATTGCGCAAGGTTCAGCTAAGAGCTCAACGGGTTCTTCACCTAAACAGATTTGGCCAATCTTAATAAACCATTCACGTTTCAAGGATATTTTGTTTTACATATGCTCAGCCAATTAGCAAAAGAAACAAGCTACCAACCATGACAGTTGGCCATCGAAGAATTAGCAGAAAGGATCTTACCCTGTTCAACAACAGCAAGGATACCGTCTTCTGAACAGATCATAGTAGGTAAGATACGTGAAGAGACATTTCCCACATTTGAAGACTTTGCATAGTGGTCAAAGTGAACCTCCCAAACCTCACTTTCGCATGGTGAATGGGTTGTTTCACCTGCCCCAACACCAGAAAGAAGAATTGGTTGTTGTGGCCACCTAAGATCCCAGGCAAATACAGTACCTAAGGAACCTCCTGCCTGTAAGTACCAGAAAATTGTAAGAAGAACATCAGATTCTTCTTTTTGGGTCTGTGACAACATAAGATTCAAGAAAACTAAAATCTGATCAATCAAGTGAGAAATCTAACTCATATATACTTAAAAGTCAAAGGGGGCAAATATTTTTTATTATTATTCACATTAGCATTACTGCATCTCCCGCAGCTTACAACATGCATAATGGAATAATATGTCAATACAATACTTAAAAAGTTGAAACAGGCTACTTGGCAAGGACTTTTAAGATGGTGAGAAATGCATAAGAAACAGAACAAAACAAAACAAAAATAGAAGACTGAGGCAGGGAGAAAGGACTAAGACGACAAGAAAAAACAAATTCATGATTCAAGGTAAAGCTAAATTCAAATGTTTCACAAACAGAAAGAAAAGAAAAGAAAAAGGAACTTAACAACAAAAGTGATGCTCTTATCTCTTTTATCAATTTCAAAATGACACACATAACAAATAGGTGAGTTGCAAAGATCACCAGTTAAATGCAAATCAAAGTATGGAATTTTTTACATATCAGCATTACCAGACAAGTGTGCTTTCGTGAAGGATGAATATCAATGGAATGTACGATCCCAGGAGTTGTTCTTTGAGACCTACAACATTTCCACCAAAAGCTCTGAAGATGAAATCACCAATATGCTGTGGAAATTCTTTTAAAGTTTAAGCAGTAATGATAAAAAAAAGCTAACAAATGATAAGCACAAGGTCATTGAAAAGTTTCTGATTGTGCAATCCTTGCAAACGAAAAGCGTGAATCAGACTCTAACACAAATGAAATATACATTAGACTTAACTCAGGATACCCACATATCTCTCCAATTCATTGCTCGGATGTTATCGCCTCTGCCCCCACACGGGGCCTCACCCCTCCTACCTTTGCCTAGAAGATCACTAACATCTCACGGATTAGACTCTAACCAATCAACCTTTTAGTAGATCATGAGTGGGTCTGCCCGTCCTCCTAAAATCAATAGCATTTCGTTGGAATACATCCTGTCTCTACACCTTCCTAAAAGTAACATATTTCCTTATGGATGTATCATGTCAATAGTTTGCAAATTTATTGTAGTTAATCAAAATTTATTTATACCAAATATGAGCTAGGCATGTAATGCATTTAAGCACATATGTATCTAGTTACGTATGGAAATACAAATTCCAGCTTCACGAGAAGTGTGTTCATGCCCCAAGAAGGCACACTTCTTGAGCCTCTAACATCCTGCATTTCTAAGCTACCGAGTCTACATTTCTGGCATGTTAACGTTGTTTACATCTTTTATTAGTGTTTTATTAAATTGCATACAGTTCCAGCTCATAAATGAAAATGAATCATTCTGAAAAAGTCCTTTAACTAATAAATTCAAAATCAAACTATATTACATCCACCAAAGAATTTCTCTGAGCCATTTACTGATTTCATTAAGCAACAGTAAATTCTTAAACAAGATGGAGATCAGTTATAACTCAGTTTATAGCGAGGAAATTGCAATATAGCATAATCACTGTAGCAAATGAGACAGAGATCAATGAAAGTTCATCATAAATTGAAGAATAAATTCAAATTTGAAAAGCAAAACAATTTTATAAAAATGCTCACCAGCTACCCTTAAACTGAGACACCGCCGCACCAGGCTTTCTCTGATCCCACCACTGGAGACTAAATCCATATCCTCCAGTGGCAAACTCACTCGGGGAGGCCCATTTCGCCGTGGTAAACGACACCAAACCGCTGCTATCGAAAATCCGTTGGTAGCTCAACTCAGACTCCCCGACAGAGACCAAATTCACCCTCCCATCTTCCCCTACACTCACACACTCCACCCCACCATCCATTATATCCACACAAGAAATGGGTCCCTCATGCAATGCCTTTTCGGGCATCGAAAGCTCCGATTCGAGAGATGCCGGGTCCATGGAATCCCCAAACAAGATGTGAATGGAGCCCGCCAATGTTGCGGAGGCCACTAAGGGTTTGTGGTGGGATTGAGAGGTTTTGAGGGAGGAAATTCGTGAGGGCGAGAACCATTGAGATTGTTGGGTTAGATTTTCTGGGTCTGGAGCAAAAGAGTGGGTTTCTATGGCGGCAGAGTCGGAATCTGAATCGAAAACTGCGATGACGGCCAAGCGGTCTAAGGCTGAGAGAGGAGGCAGCCAGCGGACAGAGTCTATGTACTTGGATTGTCGGAATCTGTGGATTTGGGGAGGCTCGGAGAGTGCCGTGATCGCCATTGTTAAGGGTTTAGGGTTTTACAGTGTTCTGCTCCCTCACTGGCTTGCTTGCTTTTGTTTCAATCAACTAGGGGAAGGTGGGGATACGTTAGTGAAAAATGGGATTTTGCTCGGGTAAGTGTAGTAATAGTGTGCATTGACTAATTTGCCCTCGTGATGGTCAAAGCCTCAAAGGACATATGGAGAAGAAATGGAAGAGAAAGATGAGGGGAAAATGTTTGCCTCAGAAAAGACCCTTATCTTTAACAAGCTCTCCCCTTATCTGTTTGTGAAGAAAAATGGCAGAGAATTTGGAACCATATCAGCTAAGAGGAGACATTTGCCTGAAGACCCTTCAACCCAGGAACAGTTCATCTTCCCATTGAGGGTCAAAATTTCAAACCCAATTGTTGCTGGGTCTGTGGTTGCAGTGTTGGGATTAGGGTTCATTGATGCAGGGTAAGCTTCTCTGTTTTTTTTTTTTCCTTTTTTTTTTGGGGGCTCACTTCTCTTTCTTTTGCCATTTGATTTTGATCTGTTTAATGTGGAAAAATAATGAATTTTCAGGTACAGTGGAGACTGGTCAAGGATTGGAGTGATCTCAAAAGAGAGTGAGGACTTGCTAAAGGTTGCTGCCTTTGTAGTTGTTCCCTTGTGTGTTTTTCTCATAATTTCTTTTTTCAAAGAACAAGAAGATTGAATCTTGAGTTGGGCTATTTTATTGTATTTTGAACGTGATATAATGAAATGAGGTCTGAATTGTAAAGTATTTCATTCTTTAGTAATATTTTTTGGGTGGAAAGTAGAAGGTGAAATTGTTGGGAAATTTTGAGAACTAATTTTACTCAATTTTGGATGAGGAAATTTAAAAATAACGAGGTATTCCAAAATGATGAAATTCAATCTTCTACAATTTGTTCAGTAATTTTTATTGGGCAAGTCTAAAAACATGATGGATTGAAACATACAGCTTAATATTTATTTCTTTAAGCATCAATCTATAAATCAGTAGTAGTGTCGATAGATGTGTTAATAGTGGTGGTGGTGGTGGTGGCAGCGGGTGTGCCATCATGTGCGATGCTGCTAGTGGATTTGCTAATATTAAGGTGTGATGGTTGCAGGGACGATTTTGGTGATAATCATGGCAAGGTGAAGGTGGTTGTAGTAGAGTTGGTACTGGTGATGTTCTTTTCATTCAAACTATCACTATCTTTTGATTTTTAAAGGGTTAAATACTTTTTTGGTCATTGGGTTTTCCATGAAATTTCAATTTGAAAAATTTAGACAAATTGGTCATTGTATTAACCAAAGTTTATAATTTATAGACTTGCCGCTAAGTTTCCATTTAAGTTTTTGGATTAAATATACTTTTTTGTTCAGTGGGTTTTACACAAAATTTCAATTTCATCATTCAGAATTTTTTTAGCTCAAATGCTATGCTCTAGCACACACTGCTCGTAGGCTAAAAATTTATGGTTCTTGTAGTATTAATTAAGGCTAAAAAAAGGAATCATATCATGACAAAAATATGTTCGTATCTCAAATAATAGTTTCACAAAAGTGCAAGTCGATCTTTTCAAAAAAGCTCGTATCATAATCCCAAGCATTATCATACTCCAACATTCACAAAAATTCAAATCTATAATTATGTCAATACATAGATTTGACCAAAAAATGAGGTTTTGCATTTTCATGGTTTTTGGCTTCTTTTTTTTCAGTGATCAAATTGAATTTTCTTGCAAAATCCAGTGAGGAAAAAGGTATTTGACCCAACAACTTAACGGAAACTAACTCCAAGTTTATAAATTGTAAACTTTTGATAATACAGTGACCAATTTGGCAAAATTTGTTCTCAGTGACCAAATTGAAATTTCGTATAAAACCTAGTGACCAAAGAGGTATGTAACCCATTTTTAAAATCATAACTACTTCGATAAAATTTAAAATTGGAATTTATAACTTCCAAATTATAAATTTTTTTCATGTAAAATTTCTAAGTTTCTTTGTTTATGAATCTAAACAAGGGTATTGATGTATGTGAATTTATAAATTTTGACTTTCATTCAAATTTTGAAGCATAGTTCGTTAAAATCTATTTCCATTACAACTTTTCTCTTTCATGAAAATTGATAGGCTTAGAGAGAGAGAGAGAGAGAGAGAGAGAGAGGGGGGGGGGAAATATGGAGAAAATAGAGAGGGAGAAAGAGAGATCTATATAGTTGGCAGACCATGGCTACCAACCTTCGAGGTTCAAAAATTTAGAGTGGAAAAATGCCTTGACTTATAGACTTATAGTCTCAAGCTTAAACCTCTATGACACCTTGGTAATGTGTGTGAGAAACATCCCTCCTCTTGTAGTTTAAATTATTGCATATATTCAAAAAACTAGTTGTTGGTTACTTTGAAAAAAATTATCTTTGTTGTTAAAAAGAGAGAACGCAAAACATTTAAAACCAGTCGTTTGTTACCGTTAGTATTAAACAAATAGTATTTAATGAGGTTCCAATGGCAACCGTTGGATCAACATTGGTAATGTTGGCAATGGTTAGATGAGGAAATACAGGCTTGCAAAAAATCATGAGTGGGGCTTGCATTATAGTTTCATAGGTTGCAACTAGGGCTGGGTAATGCTTGGAACATGCTTTCAATCATATCCAAGTGTTCCACCAAAGTTTTTGAAGCTTGAATTGCTCTTAAAACCTCCACCTTGAAATATGGCTCACCAAGTCACTAAAGAAAGTGACCTTTAAGTCTCGTCCCGAACAAGGTGTTCGGAAGAAGATGATGTGCCTTGGTGAGAATATGGTGCTAGCAATCTCTCACCAAATGGACCAGATTTTACTATGGAGGATGGGAGAGCAAGGAACAAAGCTTAAACTCTCAACCTATCATCCAATTGCACACAAAAAAAACCTAAAAAGGCATGAGCCTCTTTAAATAGGAAACTCAAAAACAAGGGAGTAGGTGAGGCCTACTCCCTCACATGCCATCCACCCATAGCGGGCCTCTTGGGCCCAAGTCACTTTAAGTTGTCATACACTTATTATATGAGTCCAATGGACCTAGAATTTAAAATTCAATTTTAAGGCCCATTGTGACATCTCTCGTTTGTTAAATTAATGAAGGCAGATCCGTGGTACCGCAAATTTAACCCAACTTCCTAAAAGCATTAACAATTTCTCTCAAGTCATCTTCTTCTTCATGCCTTTACTTCTGTTTTTTCTTATTCTTCCAAATCTTCTTTCTGCCTTTGACAATTTATCTATCATTACTAGCACTAAACAAGAAGAAGTAGCTCTTCTCCCTTCCATATTTCACATGTTAGCCATTAATTTTTCCCCCCTAAGATTTCAATCAATCTAATAAATAAATGGTATGATCTAATTCTCTGAGTATGATTTTTTATTTTATGATCCTTTTTTTTTATTCGTTTGGGGTTTGGTTCAAATATTGTGTCTCTCTATCTTGCAACAAAAATTGGAGAGGTTTATCTTGCAATCTTGTATGTTGGTTCTTTTGTTATTTTCTTTAGCTTTGAGTCTCTAAATCCTTGGATTACTTTCTATTTGAATTTATTTTTCCTCTTACATTTGTGGATTTCTTAATGTCTTTTACAATGAGAAGTTCAAGTTCATTCTCAAATAGTTTAGCATCTAACCGCAGCAAAAAGTATCCATGGCTTCTTAGCACAATTAACAATTAAGATTTTCAACCAATCTCCAGAATATTTAGAGAAAATTGCATGAAGTGTTGGAGTGGAAAAATCTAGAATAGATCCTTGCGTGTTTGGAGATCAACTTAGAACTTTGTTTCCAAAAAAAATTAAATAAAAAAAAAGTTCAAACTCAAAATGTGAGAATAAATGAGATTGGAGGAGATGGAGAGATTTTAGCCTACATTTATGCTACCTTGAAAAGTGGTGAGTTTAATATTTTATTTTATTTGTTATGTTATCGAAATAAAATAAATAAATAATAAAATCACATTTAATCTTAGCCCTTGAAAGTGCTTGCATCTAAAGGCTATAAAATTGTGTCAAAACTTGTGTCAAATTTGTGGTGCCATGGATCCGCCCCCTAAATTAATTTTGACTTAACTAATTAACTAAGCTTAATTAGTTTCCTTAATTTATCCTTATGTCTTTTTTCAAAAACCAAGTTTAACAGTGCCTGATCCATTAAGTTATAATTAGCATGACAGTGGGTAATTAGAATACTTCCTAATCAATTATTATTGTTTAATAAGGATCATTATGATTGATCCTTAGGGTTTCTACAAGTCTTGAGTGACACCTAACAGTATGTCAAGGCTACCCAAGCTAAGTATAATAAGTAAAAAAACCTACTCAATTGAAATTACAATGTAATTTGGTCATTCTCTATTTCAATGCTCTTAATTTCATTATAAGAGCATGGATAATTCATGTAAAGCCCCTAATGAGATTATCTCGTTTCCATATGAGATGTATTAGTATGACTAGAACATATTTTCTAACTATTCTAATAAGAGATTTGCTTAATCATATCTTCCGAGCATTAAGAAGGGAAAACTTGGTCTAGGCAATTTCTAAAATCACATATAGGGTAACAAGTTATCTAACATGCATTTCAACTAAATACATATAAAAAGAAACAAAATTTAAACTAGAAATTTATATAAATCTTATTGAACCCAAGCATCTTTCTAGGCTTATGAAATGTTGCACCAAAGACTCTCTAAATCAACTATAAAGAGAGGAATTAGAGATGTAGTTACTCTTGGAGCAAATCTTAAACCCTAAGAAGGTGTTCATGTAGAGTGCTTCTCTTATTTCTTGTTGCTCTGCTATGACTCTCCAATAGGTACAAAGGGATATACCTCACCAAAGCTCTTCACCCAGAAGGATTTAGATGAGAGAAATGATACTTGGGAGAGCACAAGAGTGCTAGCCCTTGCTTTCCAAGTTGCCCAATGATGATTGAGATAGAGGAAACCCAATATGGGTCAACTTGGAACAGTGGTGTCATAACACAATTTCATTTTAGGGTTTCCTCTCTTCCAAATTTCCCACTTGAAAACCCTAAAATGAAATTGTTTTATGACATCATATATAGATACCCATATTGTGACACATGTGTCTTGCACCCTCCCCTTGGTAGCCTAATTTTGGGCCTCTTGGATCCAATACATTGGACCTTTAATGTGTCACATAAGTCTAAAGTCCTATGGGTCTTTTCTTAATTCTTTAAGTCATGTGGGACCTAACCAAATTATATAACTTTAATTGTTTAATTAAACTATTCTAATTAGTTTAATGGCCTAATTAATTAAGTAATTAATTTGTCTTACAAGTATTGATCATGTTCAATCCTTGTTGACCATGTCAAGTGTCGGGTCAACAATTGACCTTTGACTTTGACTTTGACCAAGGCATAAAATCTCTCTCTTTTATTTCTCAATCCATTCTTTTGTGGTGTGTGATCTTTTAAGTTCTAATTAGCAAGGTAGTGGGTAAGTCTGATTCCTCCTAAACCAAGCATGAATTGAATCTCACCATTCAAATTTCCCTATTGAATAAGACTAATTGAATTAACCTTACAGGGCTTCCTTACTCAATCTAAATATAATTCATTGAAAAACCTATTCATTTGTAATTGCAATGCAATCATGTCTTTCTCTAAGACAATACTTTATGTCAAATTATTAGGATTCGGTTAACTTGTGTCAAATCCCTAATGTGACATTACTAGGTAACATGATTCATATGGATGAGTTTGCAAACTTACTTTCACAAATCTATCCGTTACTTTGGTCAAAGATTTCACAAATCATATCTCTAGAGTATTCTCTCTCTTTACTAAGAATACAGATTCTTTGTTCTACATTCGCATGCCTCTGTGAGCTTATTGAATATTCAAATGATTGCCTTCAAGCCATACCTTTCAATACAACCGTATAGTGTTCTAAAAAATAAACGACTTGTCCACAAGATAACCGTGATGTCTCATGTCTGAGGACTAATTTTCATTATCGCAACTTAGAATTAGTTGTATGACACTTGTAACTAAAACTACCATACAAGAATTCTTAGTCGAGCGTGTTCAGTGAACTCTATCTCCATTGAGCACCTACACACTTGTCTCACTGTCTCTACATTAATGACTTGAGAATCCTCCTAATTGAGCACACACAATGTGTATCAGTCTTCGTGGATCGCCATTGTCAAATTGATGATCCTATGACTAGGAACATTTTAGGATAAGATACATCATAATGGAAAAGTCTCGTAAATCTAACATATTTAGAGAGAATTTGGAGGTCATACATTAAAGCTTTAAATTCTATCTAAATAGTTGTAATTTTTACAATCCCAAAAGAGAGAATTTTAAAAAAGAAAAACAACCATGTATATAATGTCACCACCACCACTTTTACTACCACCACATTGCCCTTGACTCTACCATCATCCCCGTCACTGCCACCATCTCCACCACCATCACCGCCACCAACACTACCACCTTACCATGGTCATCTCCCCCACCCTCACCATCACCGCCACCACCACCATCACCATAACCACATCACCGTCATTACCACCCTCACCCCTCACCGGTATCACCACCCTCCCCATCATCTTGATATGGCCATCACCACCGCCGTCGCCTCCATCATGTTGCCACCACCACCACCACCACCTATATTATCACCACTTTTCTGTGGCCATCGCCACCACCACCTATATTACCACCACTTGTCCATGGCCATCACCACCACCATTTCCTCCCACACCCCACTACCATTCGTACATAACCGACAATCCCACCTTGCCACCGTCCTGTTATAAGTAACCCCACCACAAATTTCACATATGATGACACCACCACTATGACAAGAAAATAAAAGTTAAGGCCCTATTTGGTTTACGAAACGAATTTGAGGGGAAATCACTTCTCATGTCATTTCCTAAGGGATGAGAAATGGAATATTCATTTCCCACATTTGGTAATGCTCTGAAAGTAACCGGGAGATATCACTTTATTTCATTTCCCATATTTGTTTTGAGTAGGAATGGAAAATAAAGTTTGTATAATTTTTCAATTATATCCATATTAAATTAAATTAAATAAAAAGAATGCATTTAATGATATATTGTAATTCTAAATTGTTAATGGGGACAAAATGGTCATAAAAAATGTGCATTTAATGTTGGCTCATTTTTTCAAACTTTTCCATGAAGAGGGAAAACAAAACCCAAATTGGGAGGAGGGCTTCACTTTCCCTCTTACTTTCCCATGTGCCAGGCAACTATTTCTCATACCTAGACTTACCAAACATGGGAAAACAATTGATTTCTCATCCCCAAACCTCATTTTCCATGAACCAAACAGGGTCTAAATTCCGTATTTAAACCTATTAACCAAACAAAAAACTTTACAAATTTTAGAACACTAATTTCCATCATTTATGAATTCCTTATTTAGTACTTTTAAATTTCCTCATCCAAACATAGAAGATTTCTTGCTTGACAGTAAAATCCATTTACTTCTGCCTTGCAAGTATTTGTCAGAAATGTTAATCCAATGGGGTCCAACTTAGGAAAAGTTGGGCCTTTGAATCTGCTGCTTCTTCAGGAAATCAAGGGAAGATGGACAGAGAGAGAAACAAAGAGAGGTGATGAGGTGGTAGAGGAGATAAATGAGAGGCCCGAAATCGCTAGCCATTCTCTGTGTGTGTGTACGTGTGTATAAGGCACTCCTTGGCTTACCTTATCCTATCCAACTCTCCCTCTCTCCCTCCTCTCTCTATCTCTCTCTTTGTCACTTATATCTCCACTCTCTCTCTCTCTCTCTCTCTCTCTCTCTCTCTCTCTTATAATCTTGACCCCTCTTCTCATCTGTCCCCAGCTCTATATCACTTATGCTAGGAAATATCCCACTTCACTTCTTCAACCTCAATTCCCTCCATTCTGCCATGTGAAGGCACCTGCTTAGCAACCCTTCAAATCCCCCACTCTCTAATTTTCCAGCAACCCTTCATTTCTTTTTCAACCCAAAAAAAAAAAAAAAAAAAGAGATGGGAAGAACATATAATTAAGCTCCAACTACAGCCATAGCTATTGACATTTCAATTTCTCTGCTGAGCAGATTAAATATGATTCTACTCAATGAAGCATTAAGTTCTCCTGGGTCTATTTCATATTTTGTTATTTAATATTACCTTTGCAAGCTGGTTCTTAGCTTGAATTTCAGCTGATGATGCTGGAGCAATATATATAAATATTTCTGGTCACCCTCTTGTTAGTGTGTAAGTAATTGAGTTGAGAGGTGGTGGTGGACGGAGATTTTGTGAAGTTTTCATTCGATACATTCAATTTTGAAGTCATAGTTATTATCGTTGAGATTAAAAAGAGCCTTTCAAAGCAGCCTGATAGTTTTGGTGCACAATGGCTCCCAAGACTGGGAAGGCGAAGCCACATAAAGCCAAGGGGGACAAGAAGAAAAAGGAAGAGAAAGGTTTTTCTTCTTCTTCTTCTTCTTCATGTTATCTCTCTCCTGTGTGTAACTTGTTTTGTTTGCTTGTTTGTTTTTGGTGTAACATTATCACCTCCTGTCTTTAATTATCTCTGGTGTAAAATTCAGCTGAAATCAGATGGCCATGGACATTACAATTTCATGTTGTTTAATTTCTTAATTTTCTGTTTGTATTAATTAAATATTTAACTCCCATTACTAATTGCAGTTTTGCCTACCGTAATCGAGATTAGCATTGAAACACCAGAGGACTCGCAAGTCACCCTCAAGGTATGAATGAATTTGGTTTTTTCAGAAGAAAAAAAACTCAGTTTTTGCATATAATCTCATCGTATGCGGTTGTTTTTTTCCATACATGCATGGTATATAATCTCATCATATAATCTCATCGTATACCCGCATTACTCATCTAATAGAATGCATCAACTTGCTTGTAAATTTATTTATTGATTTGTTATTCTAGTAATCGAGCTAATGACAAATATTCTCTAATGAGATAACGGGATGCAAGGGGCTTGTAGAACCCGAAGTTCTAGTTTTGATTCCTCTCTTCCTTAATATCGCTTGAATAATATATATATATATATAATGAGATTGAATCTAGAATAAGAATCATTTTGTATGATCAAAATGTGCATTTAAGATTAACACTCGAGTTCGGAAATAGAAAACATTACTCTCAAATTTGAAGTTTTTTTATTTTAATCACAATAACTCATTTAATAATAAATATATTATTCCATATATGTTTATGTTATGAGACTGTGAATTTGATTTATTAATATGAGATTCAAATTCACCTTCTTTGAGAATTAGCTCTTAATATAATAATAGTAATGGTAATGGTGAATGGGACCTTATCTTGCTATATAGGGTATCTCTACGGACAGGATCCTAGACGTGAGAAAGCTGCTGGCAGTGAACGTAGAGACATGTCATTTGACCAACTTCTCCCTATCGCACGAGGTAACCCTTCCCCTCTGGGCGCCAGTGGGCCCAATTTGTGATTTGTGATTGGTGAGATTTTAGGAGGAGCATTGCAGCAGCATCATTTAATACCAGCCCACCTCTTTCATGCCTCTCATGTACTTTGATCGTAGTAGTGCCTAACTAAAACCATCTCTGCATCGTGCGGTCTTCGATTCTTCAATTGACATTTGATTTTGATGGGATCCTAATCAGGTGCGGGGACCTAGACTCAAAGATTCCGTGGACATCCTCTCGCTCAAACCCTGCCACCTCACCATCGTCGAAGGTAAATGGTCCGATGTAACCGCACCCAATTCTCCTAACCCTACACTCGTTGTACCGTATCACACCTTTCATTTTTGGTTCATGTAGTTTGCATTTTTTATTATTTTGATTCCGTACTTTTAATTTTGTGAATTTTATCTGTGTGATTTTAAATCTCTTGTAATTCTAGGACACGCTACAAGTTCCATCAAGCTCCTTCCAATTCTTTCCAAAATAACCCATTCATGTCAGCGGAGCGTACATACTTTGTTGCAAAATTGGATGGAAGTTTGGACGTGTTCTTGAATTACGAGAGCATAACACTGTATGGTTAATTTGCAAAAATTAAAATGACAAGGATGCATATATAGGCTTAGCCAAGTTAGCTATAGCGAATGTGCTTCGCATTTTAGACGTGTGAATATCGATTGTATAAAATAAAAAAATAACAAGGACAAAAGTGAAAAGTCTAGCAAACTAAGGCACAAAATTGACTTTTTGCCTTTTTGTTGTTGTTGGGAAAATGTCACGTTTCGTAGTTTGATGAAATTTTCACTTTCGTCCATGTGGTTTTAATTATAGTAATTTGACTCCTACATTTGATTGTATTGCAATTTAAAGACATGTCCAAATTTCCGTCAAATTTTTTTTATGGAATAAACACGTGTCTCTTATATGGAGGGGTATTTTGGATGGAAATTTGGATGTGTCTTTAAATTGTTATAGAATCAAGCCTAAATTGATAAAATTATAACTAAAGGGACTAAAGTACAAAAACCAGCAAACTATAGGGACCAAAGTAACTTTTTCCCTTCTTTTTTCATTAATTTTTAATTTTGTTAATTTTCTGGCACCGGGTACCGGCAGATGACTACACGGAACAGCAAGCCGTGGTGCACATCCGGCGACTGGTGGACATCGTCGCCTGCACAACGTCGTTTGGCACCTCATCCGCTTCTTCACCCAAAACCCCCGGCTCCGGCAGGTCTAACTCCAAAGAATCCGGTTTAGAAGAGAGCGAGGCACCGCATCCCCCAAACGTCGACGAGCCCAATGCCGATCCGAAGACCAAAGTTTCGGGTCCGGTTCCGATCGCCGGAGCTGACCCCGCTGTATCCATGTATCCTCCTCCGAAGCTCGGCCAGTTCTACGACTTCTTCTCCTTGTCTCACCTCACGCCTCCGCTCCACTGTACATTCTCTCCCTCTGTAGTTTCTACATTGAATTTGGTGCTTGTGTATTGATGGTGGATTCAATTGGGGTGGTGTTGCAGACATTAGAAGATCTACTCGTCCGTTCCTGGAGGATAAGAAAGAAGACGACTTGTTTCAAATTGACGTACGTGAGCCAAAAATATTGATTATTTATAAATGTATATAAATTCAATTGTTGCTTAAATTGGTGTAAATGGTGTGTGTTTGTGCAGGTTCGGGTTTGTAGTGGGAAGCCGACGACAATCGTTGCTTCCAGAAAAGGGTTTTACCCTGCTGGAAAGCGCGGTCTTACCACTCACTCTTTGGTTGCTCTTCTTCAGCAGACTAGCAGGCCATTTGATGCTGTAAGTTCCAAACGATTTGTTTTCTTCTTTTCCCTTTTTCTGGTTTTTTGCTTCTGTTATTAAAATCTTGCTTGCTTTCTGGATGCAGGCATACAATGCTGTTATGAAGGCTTTCACTGAGCACAATAAAGTAGGTGTTTAATTTTCACAATATATATACACACACATACATATAGTCAAACTTAAATATGAATCAGACTAGACAATTTTACCAAACCATTTATTTTATAATTGATTTCAGTTTGGAAACCTTCCTTACGGTTTTCGGGCAAATACATGGGTTGTCCCTCCAGTTGTTGCTGATAACCCATCTGTTTTCCCACCACTTCCTCTGGAAGATGAAAACTGGGGAGGAAATGGGGGTGGCCAGGGAAGAGATGGTAAACATGATTACAGGCCATGGGCAAAAGAGTTTGCCATTCTGAAAGCAATGCCTTGCTCAACGGCAGAAGAGAGGCAAATTCGAGACCGAAAGGCCTTTTTGCTTCACAGTTTATTTGTCGACATCTCAGTTCTTAAAGCTGTAGCAGCAGTTAAGCGTCTAGTTGAGAGTAATCAATGCTTCTTAAACGATCCCACTCTTTCTATTCTTCATGAGGAAAGAGTTGGAGATTTAATCATTAAGGTGACTAGAGATTTGCCTGATGCAAGTATAAAGGTGGACTGCAAAAATGATGGCAGCCAAGTTCTTGGATTGTCGCAAGAAGAAGTTACTCAGAGAAACCTACTCAAAGGCATAACAGCTGACGAGAGTGCAACCGTTCATGTGAGTATATTCCTAGTTGCTTTATAGTCCTATAATTTGTTGACGCAGGAATAATCAACATATGAAAACAACTTTTGGTTTTGTAGGATACTGCTACTCTAGGTGTTGTAGTTGTCAGACATTGTGGGTTTACGGCTGTTGTGAAGGTTTCAAATGAGGTGAATTGGGAGGGGAAACATGTTCCTAAGAACATTGAAATCGAGGACCAGCCTGAAGGAGGTGCCAATGCATTGAATGTTAATAGGTAATGTTCAACATATGAAAACAACTTTTGGTTTTGTAGGATACTGCTACTCTAGGTGTTGTAGTTGTCAGACATTGTGGGTTTACGGCTGTTGTGAAGGTTTCAAATGAGGTGAATTGGGAGGGGAAACATGTTCCTAAGAACATTGAAATCGAGGACCAGCCTGAAGGAGGTGCCAATGCATTGAATGTTAATAGGTAATGTCTTATATTTTGATTTTGAATTTTTTTTTTTTTTTTTTTTTTAGGGTGATGGGGGAATGTCTTTTGATAAGTTATTGCCAGACTCTTAAGATGTTACTATTTGGGCCAACATTTCTTTGTGCACAACTGAACCACAAGATACTAACAGATCTCTTTCCTTCAAAATTTTAATTGCAGCCTGAGACTGCTATTGCAACAGTCATCCCCGCCTCAGTCATCAAATACAGTTCCACGAACCCAGAGTACAGATTTTGAAAATTTGCGTTCTTCTAGGTCTTTAGTAAAGAAAGTACTTGAAGAAAGTTTGTTAAGGTTGCAGGGAGGACCCACAACTCATACAAAGTCTATCAGATGGGAGCTAGGAGCATGTTGGGTGCAGCATTTGCAAAATCAGGGTTCTGGGAAAACTGAGTCTAAGAAAACTGAAGAAGCTAAGACTGAGCCAGCTGTTAAGGGTCTTGGAAAGCAAGGTGGACTACTTAAGGAAATAAAGAAGAAAATGGATGTCAGAAGCAGCAAAACTGAACAGGGGAAGGAATTGATTGGGACCAACAAAATTGACACCACTAGTCAGGAGGAATTAGAAAAGAGAGATGCAGAAAAGGAAATTATTTGGAGAAAGCTGCTTCCTGATGCATCATATTTGCGCCTCAAGGAATCAGATACTGGCCTTCACCTTCAGGTTTACCAGCTACTTTCCCTGAGTGACTCTCAAATTTGACTTATGTAATTGTTTGGACTCAGGTAGCTAGGTCATATCATCACATATTAAGTTTCTCAGTACATAGAGCCATCTTTTGTTCATCCATTTTAAAATTTTTGTTGCCTGACATATGTAGTCTTCATGTTTCATATTTGATAAACAATGCTCGTGTTGGCAGTTACCCGATGAGTTGATTGAAATGGCACATAAATATTATGCAGACACTGCCCTTCCAAAACTGGTCAGTTTCTGAACTGTAGTTGTTCTCACCCTTTCCTTCTACCCACTTTTCTTTTGTTTTGCTTAAGATATTTTGGTCTTAGTATCTTCTGTCATTGTACTAGGTGGCAGATTTTGGCTCCCTGGAACTTTCACCAGTTGATGGAAGGACATTGACAGATTTTATGCATACCAGGGGTTTGCAAATGAATTCCCTAGGACGCGTGGTAATTTCTTTCTTCACAATGTTTTTGTACATGTCTGATTGGTTTTACTTGACTTTAATAGTTTGTAAATATTTGGCCCTAAAATAATATTATCCTGCTTAATCTTTGATTATAAAAATGGTGGATATATTAATGACAGTAATAGTCAAATGGAATGTAATTGCTGATTTTCATCCTAGATCAGATAGTGTGTAACTTGTCTCACTTTAGCAAATGGAATGTAATTACCTGTTTCACCTTTTTTTTCTTTTGCTTTTTCATTTTAAGTTGTAAATAGTATTTGGATCACCATGTTCACTCTTATTCTACTTGTATAATTTTGACATATTACGCTATGCAAAAGGTATAGCTGGTTTTGGAATATTTCGTAATTTCATACTATCCTTTTGTTATGTTAGGTTGAACTTGCAGATAAGCTCCCTCATGTACAATCACTCTGTATCCATGAGATGGTTGTGCGAGCCTACAAACACATTCTGCAAGCTGTTGTAGCAGCAGTTGATAATGTTGCAGACTTGGCTGCATCTATAGCAGCATGTTTAAACATATTGCTAGGAACACCATCAACTGAAAATGGGGATGCAGACATTACTTATGATGATACATTAAAATGGAAGTGGGTGGAAACATTCCTTTTGAAGAGGTTTGGGTGGCAATGGAAACATGAAACTGTTAAGGATCTAAGGAAGTATGCCATTCTTCGTGGATTGTCCCACAAGGTAATATGAGTTTACCTCTATCTGATATCTTACTCTAAACTAAATACACTGCCATATCAATTTTTAAAACACAATCATCCTTCATCAGGTTGGACTTGAGCTTGTTCCTAGGGACTATGATATGGACACTGTATCTCCTTTTCGGAAATCTGATATAGTAAGCATGGTCCCTGTGTATAAGGTAAATAAATATATACCTTCACTCTAGAAATTAAAAAACCAGACCTCAGATTCCTTTAGGATTTTTTCAGTTTCCATGAATCTAATGTTTCTTTGTACAGCATGTTGCATGCTCATCTGCTGATGGGCGTACACTGTTGGAATCATCCAAGACTTCCCTGGATAAGGGTAAACTGGAGGATGCTGTTAATTTTGGCACTAAGGTATGGAGCCACTTACCTTCTTTTGAAATAATGTCATGATTTTTCCAATAGCCACTAAACGATCCAAACTTTAACATCGGTTCCTGAAGGCACTCTCAAAACTTGTATTGGTATGTGGGCCTTATCATCGAATGACAGCAGGAGCATATAGTCTTCTTGCGGTAGTGTTGTACCACACTGGAGATTTTAACCAGGTATGTGCTTTAATATGCTTTCAAATGTTAAAAAGTTTTTTTTTCTTGATGGCCAGCACACCAAGAATTGGGAAGTGCCACAAAGAAAAGGCAGACTACTAGAATAAACTCATGGATGACAAAACACAACTCAATTTTGAATTTTAAAACATTTCAAGTACATTATGAGTCAATAACATTTTATGCAGTGTAGTACCATCAGTTTTACATACTACATCATTGGATGCCATTTAAATTAACTTGGTAGTCAAAATTTGTCAATAGAATTTATGTTTGACATATAATTTTTGCTAGTCATTTTAAAATACTGTTCTCGTTTACTATACCCAGGCGACCATCTATCAGCAAAAAGCACTGGATATCAACGAGAGGGAGCTTGGACTTGATCATCCTGATACAATGAAAAGTTATGGGGATTTAGCTGTTTTCTATTATCGACTTCAACATACAGAGTTGGCCCTGAAGTATGCTTTTATCTTTTGCAGTTGACATGCCGATTCTTATATGATTAAATCATGATGGACATCCTTGAGTTTATGCTTTGTGTGCTAATTTGATAATTTTACTTATGTAGTCACACTCTCCACTCTTGTTATGACACCTGATGACCAGCTGTTTCAGTTCCCCTTTAATAATAAAAAATATTGTTAAAGAAATAGGAAAACAATTGAGGGAAATTTAGACCGCAATATTTGGTTTTAGAGATGGGTTACCTATCTGAAATTTAGACTGCAATATTAAGTAATAATACAAACCCGTGGTGAGAATGTTCTTTCATTACTTTCCCCCGAAGAGATTTGGTACATGAATCAATAGGTTACATATCTGGAGAGTGATAAGCTTGGTTGGGCCCAGAGTAGGGCAGTGATGTGTTGGTCTTTTCTTTCTTGTTTGGGCTTTGGCCCGCTTGTTAACAACAACAAAAAAAAGTTTAGTGGGGGAAAGCATTAGTCAATGGGTCACATAAAAATAGAGTCGAATCCGATTTACTAAACTTTTTTCTTCAACTCTGAGGAATGCTGCAAACCCCAATGAGGCAATGACTAAAGTTGTATAGCTGATTTGTTTTCTTGTAACTTATTCTAGGTACGTCAATCGTGCACTCTATCTTTTGCACCTAACATGCGGACCGTCTCATCCAAACACGGCTGCCACCTATATTAATGTAGCAATGATGGAAGAAGGTTTGGGGAATGTCCATGTTGCTCTTCGGTACCTCCATGAAGCTCTAAAGTGCAATCAAAGGCTCCTTGGAGCTGATCATATACAGGTCTCTCTCTCTCCACCACCACCACCACCCCCCCACCAAAAACATGTTCAACAAGATGAGATTATGTTGGTAGTTCTGTGATGTTTGCATGAACAGAAATAATGGAATTAGACCACGATAGTAGGAAAACAATGGAGTTGGACCATGGCTTTAACAAGGAAAACAATGAGTAGAAACTGTTTTTTCCCTGCTGATTCATAGATTGTCCAGTGTTACTATCTTCTATAGATTTGACACTGTGCTTATCTAACTTCGATGCTGTTATCTGATTTAAATTTTATTGTTGAGGCTTTTATTGACCAAACTAAAGTTGGTTAAGCATGTTGACCAAAAAAGAAAGTAGGTTAAGCATTGGGTTGGAGCTTGCACTAGAAGAAACTTGGGCAAGTCTCCAACCTTTCAAACCTTCATTGAACAATCTTAATAATCTGAGAAACTAAAATATGAAATTGCATGAAATTAGAGGGGTTGTATCTCTCTCTCTCTCTCTCTCTCTCTCTCTCTCTCTCTCTCTCTCTCTCTCTCTCTCAGTTCTTCAAGATATCTTTGATAATTGGTCAAACATTACCCAAGAGATTCATTGTTGTTCCATTCTGCTTCTACTTTGCGCATGAGCATCCTTGCTCACATTTGTTTGTATTTATTAACTTGCGCTATGACGAATTGGTGTTTAACTCGTATTTCTCTTTACTTCAGACTGCTGCTAGCTATCATGCCATTGCTATCGCACTTTCTTTGATGGAAGCTTACACATTAAGCGTTCAGCATGAACAAACTACCTTACAGATACTGCAGGCAAAGCTTGGGCCCGAGGATCTACGCACACAGGTAATATTAGTTTTAATAGTTTTTAATTGATTCTCATATAATCTGGTGAACCTTTCTTATTTACACACACAGCCACACTATAATGTGATGATCCATATTTATTTTTATGTACTGAATATTTTAGGATGCGGCTGCATGGCTTGAGTATTTCGAGTCCAAGGCTTTGGAGCAGCAAGAAGCTGCACGTAATGGTACTCCAAAGCCAGATGCCTCAATCTCCAGCAAAGGTCATTTAAGGTAACTTAAAAAAATCAGAATCATGCTACAAGTAATATTTTCACCTTTGGCACTCTGGTTTAAGTATTGAGATCCATGCATTGCTGATTAGGACATACTTAATCCATAATTTTGTTTCATGGGTTCTTGTGTTTTTGTACTTTGTACTTGTGAAAAACTTGTCCTCTTGGTTTTTTTCTCATGTCGTTGTCATTCCTTTGCTCCTTGTCATTCTTGTTTGTGAACCAAATACCTTTAAATGGATATTACAAGTTTAATCTGAGTTCGTGTACAAGATTTGTTTGGTATAATTTGATAGCTTGTGTCTCTTAATTCCATAGAAGTTGGTCAGGGTTGCAAGTACAAGATTCATTTGGTATAATTTGATGGATTTTCTCTGAATTCCATGCAATATCAACATTTACACGCTATATGATTTTTCTTTCTTTGATCAGTGTATCAGACCTTTTGGATTATATAACACCAGATTCTGATATGAAAGCAAGGGAGGCCCAAAGGAAAGCTCGTGCAAAGGTCATAATTTCCTAACCTGCCTGGGATTTTACTCTCTTATGTTTGCCCTTTTTTCTTCTTCTTTTTTTCTTTTGTTTCCTGATAAGTTCTCTTTACAATGCAGGTCAAAGGAAAACCAGGACAAAACTGGGAGGTAGGCTCAGATGAGTACCAGAAGGATGAAATATTGTTACCAAGTCATCCTGTTGCAGAGAATTCAAGTGATAAAGAGAACCAGTCTGAACCTCAATTTGCAGAACCTAGGAATGAGAAATCTGCTTCAAACCTACTGGATCAATCAATAATATTCAATACAAAGGATGATCTAGCAGAAGATGACACATCTGATGAAGGTTGGCAAGAAGCTGTTCCTAAAGGCCGTTCACCTATGGGTCGCAAATCTACTGTGTCGAGGAGGCCAAGCCTCGAAAAATTGAATACTAACTTTATAAATGCATCCCAGTCATCAAGATACCGAGGAAAGCCCAATAATTTCACATCCCCAAAAACGAGCCCAAATGAGGCTGCTTCTTCTACTGGACCTGCTCTTCCTATCTCAAAGAAATATGTCAAGAGTGCAAGCTTCAACCTTAAGCCAAACAACTCTAGCATATCAGCTAGTGGAGGACCAGAGAGACTGTCAAACCCAAAGTCAGCCCCAGCTACCCCAGCTTCTATTGATCAAGTTTCCAAGTCTGCTTCTGTGGCAAGTCCAATCAGTGTTCAGTCAGCTGGAAAACTTTTTTCCTACAAAGAAGTTGCGTTGGCTCCTCCTGGGACAATTGTGAAAGCAGTGGCAGAACAGTTACCAAAAGGAAGTCTCCCTATTGTACAAACTTCTCAGGTGGGACAGGAGACACCTGCTACCGATGTCACTATGGGTGAAGTGACGACATTGAAAGATGTGGAGGAAGAGAAAAATCAGAAACGCACGGGAGAGAAACAGGTTTTGGCTTCTGAGAAAATCCCAGTTGATGTAGTACAAACAAAAGTGCAGAGTTCTGCGGTGAAGGAATCTCTGGAAGTTGTAAAGCATGCTAGTGTTGGAGTACAAGTGGAAGCTGAGATCATAGAAAGGAAAAACACTGTTTTTGAAGATGCCCAAGTAGAAAATGTAGCAGTTGCAAATTCGAAAGTTGAGAATTCTGATACTTCCCAAGGTCCAAATACTACTCTGGAAAGTGGGCGGTTGGAAGCACCAGTGCTACACAGTTCCCCTGATTCAGAGCCTTCATCTGTTCTAGCTGAAAACACAGCTCAGTTGCTGGATAAAAATCCTATTAATTCGAAAATAAAGGTGGAAGGAGATAGAAAGCCAGATGATATACCCACTGATGACATAGTTAAGCCAGCGCCAACTGATGGAGAGAAGTTAGATGAACAAGAATCTGGAAAGGAGTCAACCAAGAAACTTTCTGCAGCTGCACCTCCATTCAATCCATCCCTAATTCCAGTTTTTGGCTCAGTTCCAGTTGCAGGTTTCAAGGATCATGGAGGGATTTTGCCCCCGCCAGTAAATATTCCTCCTATGCTTGCAGTTAGTCCTGTCCGTAGATCACCTCATCAGTCAGCAACAGCAAGGGTTCCATATGGTCCACGGTTGTCTGGTGGATATAACAGATCTGGAAGTCGGGTTTCACGTAATAAACATAACTTTCAAAATGGTGAACACACAGGGGATGGGAATCACTTCAGCCCTCCCAGAATCATGAACCCACATGCGGCGGAATTTGTACCTGGACAACCATGGGTTCCCAATGGCTATCCAGTGTCCCCAAATGGTTATCCCATGTCCCCAAATAGTATACCTGTATCACCAAATGGATATCCAGCATCACCGAATGATATTCCAGTGAATCAAAGCGGGTTTCCAACCTCTCCAATTAGTTCAGAAGATTCCTCGAATGTTGTAAATGCTGACCTTGGTGTTGAAACAAATATTGAAGGCGAAGCGAAGGAGAATGATGAGAATTCTTCAGTAGAAGTTGGCGCTGAGAAGCATAAAATCGACGGAGAGCCGCAGGAAGAACAGTCTGTAGATAATGTAAAGACGCATCCTGAAATTGAAGAAAATCCTATTGATACAGATACAGTTCCTGGTGATACGGTTGTAGCAAAAGACACTAGCAATTTAGCCGTCGAGGAAAACCCAAGCAAATGCTGGGGAGATTATAGTGACAGTGAAGCTGAGGTCATTGAGGTTGCTAGTTGAAGAAGGATCTTGAACTTTTCATATATCAACTGGTCACAGCCTAGGGTTGGGGCGGAAGAAACAACAGAGTTGTGGTGGTCAGCTCTTGAGTGAATAAATTTTCCCGTGAAGCCTGTGGTATAACTAACTAGAATCCTGTAGAGTGTGAAGACTTTCTGATACAGTTGTCTTTGCTGCAGTTTGAAATGAGAATTTGACATTAGAATTGAGTTGATAGAATGGCATGCGAAAGAAATATGCCATCACTGCGGAAGTATTTGTTGAGTAATTCATCGGTGGGTCGTATTCTTTTCTTGTTCAATTATTACCCTTTTTTCTCTTCTGATATAACTGTTGTTGGCTGTCAAGTGAAAACGAACGAATAGAACCCTAGCTGTGAATTCTTAAGATCATGCACTCTCAGGGGTGATGATTGCTTGGAAGTTCTAAGACAATAAAGTTCAAATTCTCCTCTGCATTAATATTTTTGAGATATCTCAGATTTCCTGATTTTGACTTATTTATTTATTCAATCTCATAACCTAGTTGCTGATATGAATGTTTTCTTTTGATGGTTATTTACTTGAAATTTTTACTCCATTGAAATCCAAACATCATGGAAACCAACTAGTGGTGATACGAAATGATATCATCAGTTCTTAATATGGTAGAATCAATTATGGTGTAACTGATAGAAGTCTACAAATACAACATTTTCGGTACACATACGAAGACAAGCTTTCGTTTTAGGCAGAGTTTTACAACACAAGCTGAACAACAAGACAATACAAAAACCTGGTGTCAGAATGATTGAAACCCTCACCAGTGTGATGCCTATGCTAACACTGCTAAACGTGTGACCGGAATGCGCCTAATATCCACAGGTTGGTGATCCCCGGCGAAAATCCATAACAACCAGTGTGGCAGCGCTGTGTGTAAGTGCGCCGAGGACAACAAAGACATGGAAGATCTGATGGCTGTGCCCTGCAAGATCAAATTTACCAGGCTTCCAGCGTTCTGGTATCCGACTAACGTAGAATGCAGCTCCTGAAGCATAAAAAATAGCCATAGCAAGCTCATATCCCAAAGCAACAAATATATGTTGATTGCCCCCGTAGAGAACTAGGGCATGAACTACCGGAATCACCCCGGAGAAGCCCATGGAGAGAAAAAGGGTAGCCCTGAATGACCGGAAACGGGGTGCAGAGAGACTAGGCGAAAGAAGGGTAATGATGGCAAGGATTCCAAGCACAGATATTGAAGAAAGATAGAAAAACCGAGAGTGTGGATTGCAGGAGAAGCAATAGTAAATGGGAGCAAAGAAGGAACAGACTATCATAAGCGAAATCCCGGCATAGTCTAGGCGCCAGAAGAAAAAATGGAAGCGTTTGGAGTGACAAGCAAGGAGGTGGGAGAGGGAGCTGCAAACTAAGCACCCCATAGCCCCACTTAAGAACACAAACCAAGGCCATCTTGGAATAGCATCATAACCATCTTCCTTGTTTGCATGAATTATTGATGATGCCTGTGAAATTTGCCTCAAATGTGAATCCTGCACACGAACATAGATATCAAGTTGCAAATATTTTGTTGGATGCAACAATCCATTCATAATTATCCCTGCACGTGATCCTAAGTCCGTTCCTAGCCTTCTCCAATATCGAATTGATTTCAGTAAATATCCCGAAAAGGTCTCCGTATGCACGTGAAGGACTGAATATATCCGGGACCCATCGGCCCCATTATACATAGGTCAGGTGCCCCACCAAGCTAATGCGGCCCAAAATGTGTGGAACCCCACACGCAAAACCCATCCTCCTATTATTTATTTATTTGATTCCGCGACCGCGTGACAGAAGGCACTCCAAAATTTTAAATGACAAAAATATAAATATAAATTCGTAAAAGCGTAAAACTGACCGGAGGAGGAAATTGTACGTTCTGAGTAGAGGAGACGTTAAGGTCCGTCATCTTCATCATGGTCATCATCATCAACGGTCCAGAAACCGAAGCCCTACTTTTCCAGCATTACACAAGCCAAGCAATAATGAGTCGAAAGTACGAAAATACCCACTAAGAAAAACGTGAATGGCAAGCAAGTCCTAGTGTTTTCCTAGCCTTTTCACCTGGAGAAATTGCCGAGCAGACCTCCGAGCTCCGTGTCGTCCCTCAAGCTCATCACCGTTAGTCCCACGAATATCAAGAACCCCACCAAATGCCTGCACCGTTAGTTGATTATCAATTAATTACTGAAATTAATTGAAGAAATTAGATTAAGGAGTTAATTAATCTCACTCACGTCCAGATGTTGAGGGTTTCGTTGTGCCAGGCGAAGACGCTGAAGACGACGTCGTTCAATGGCCACTCGCACCTGTAATAGTCCAATATGAACTCGTTGTCCTTCATGTACTGCGGAAGGTCCTGGAACTTCATCAACGTCATCTTCTTCTTAACACTCTTCACCTTCTGTTGCTTCGTCGTCGTCTCCGACTCCTCTCGCTTCCCGTGGTTGCACATCTCTCTTCGCGGTTCGCCGGGAAACTCCTTTCTCCGGCAAACCTTCAGGCAGATCTGGACCGTCCAATTTCCTAATCACTGATCAGACAAGTCTCTTTCTTTCTTTCTCTGTTTCCTTCCAATTTGTGGTCTCTCTGTTTTCTTATTTATATACATATACACCACGACGACGGCGTGTTTTTTCTTTTTAATTTTGAATTGTCAGCGACTGCTTTTTACACGTGTCGGTGAGTCATTGGATGAAAAACTGAGAAAGCCAAAGGAGTTGAGCTATGGAGATATGGAGGTGGAGGCACTGGATTCCTGCTCGCAGGACTCTTGGCTTATCTGGAATTTATTCCATTCGAAGATTCAAATTTGGCGGAAGGTGAGAAACGTAATTTGGGTGATGGGTATATATTCGCTTATTTAAGGATAAAATGCGCCCTTTGGTCTTTCTAGCACAGTGGCACACTTGTGGGCCCGGTTTGAGTCTTGGGACACGTGTATGAATATTCTCCAATCAGCTCACCCATCTTTCTTGCATGTTATTGCTTTCTGGGTTTTTTTTTTTGGGGTTGGCAATGGGAGTTAACCTAAGTTAATTAGTAGTGGAGTTGTTGAGCAGGATCTCATCCGGTAGACACAATATTAATTTAGTTCATCCTTTAGAGCATGTCCATCCTAAAGGCCAAGGATAAGGCAAGGCAAAAGTTGCTATTATTCATGTGAATAGTGACAGTCTTGTTTATTTTAGTTTCACTCTAAAAGGCTAGGGCAAGGACAAGGGCAAGAAAAAAAAAAAGAATATGCAACAAAATATAAACTTGTTATGTATTTATAGGGAGAACATCCATAATCTTTTGGTAATTTTTTTTAAAATTGATTTTTTTTCCATTTTTTTTTTTTTTAATTTTTTACTCGATGACGTCAACATCTTCGGGCTGAAGCCCAAGCAAGATCTACCCTTGGGCTTGCTCGGGCTGGTGGTACCCAGGGCTTGCCCGAGCTGCTTCTTCTACGTTGGAGGTCCAAAACCCATCAAAGGGGCCTTTAGCCAGGGCAAGAGGCCCTGCGCTGGAGGTGCTCTTAAGAAAACCACCATGGCATTCCATCTTTTGATGATGTTGTTGCTTTCTTCACTAGTAGTCACTAGTGGCATATTTATTACTTAAATGTGCATTGTCTTAACGAGACAAAATTCTCCTTAACGGTGAGAAAATTGTCTTATCAAATATTGTCTTATCAAAATGACATTCTCAAAATACGTGGTAAAGTATAAACACAACCAATGACAGAGCCACTTCTAGGTTTGGAGTGGCCCTAGCCCCCCATATTTTAGTATCTCCTCTATTATATTATATAAAACATATAGATTTTGTAATAAACAACTTATAATTTAAGTTATAGTTCCCTCTAAAACAAATTAGACATGACTAAATTATAAATATTTAACTCTAAACATGTAATTATTGAATACTTAGGTGTTTTATATATTTGTATTTTCTACTTTGGCCCTCCCTAACTTTACAATTCTAGTTCTACCTCTGAACACAACTAAAACCTTTGTGAATTTCCAATTTGCATCAATGGTAAATTTGAACTTATTGATGGCAAATTTTTCAAAAAAAAAAGTTAAAGGTTAGTACAATAAATTGATAAGCATTGAAATAAAGAAGAGTTGTTCAGTCTCCTTGACCTATGTCAACTCCTCAAGCACACCACTTGAGAGTTCAACTATGCTGAAAACTCCTCGCGAATGGAGTTCAAACCTGAGCTAGAGCCCGCAACTCTTTATCACAAGGTGGATGACACCCTTCTCACCTCACAGGCCCCCACCAACCTTCTTTACAAGTTTGAATAAAGATTAAGAAGAACAACTCTCTTTTATGTGAGACAGAGAGAGAGAGAGAGAGAGAGAGAGAGAGAGAGAGATGCAATTGAAGCTTCTCACACTACAACTCTTGTATGAATTGAACTAAAATAAGGTCAAGAGGATGTGATAGTAAGAGAGTAATGAATGCTTGTGATAAGAATTGTAAGCTTGTGTCGAGCAAGGTGTATAAGGAATATGTCAGTTTGACACAATGCTGTAGCAACTGTTGGATTTAGAAATGAATTTGAACTTCGAAGTTCCAGAACAGAATTGTACCCTTCAGGTTTATTTCCATTGAAATTTTTGTAGTAAATGTCTTCGTAATAACCCTAGAGCAGGAGTCCAGGACAACTATATAACAATGCTATAGTTATATGCTCAATTTAAGGTGTAAATTTGGGATTTAAATTATGGAATTGTTATATGTATTATTTTAAAGAATTAATTACATTTTACTCTTTGCATATCATGGTCATTATTGAAATAGGCTATGAAGTTTCAATTTCATCAATATGAAACCCAACCTTTTTAAATATGACCAACTTACGTACTCCGCCAACTTCACCGTTTGATTTTCTGGTAATTTGGTGACGTGACATGTAGGATAGTCACTTTTATGCTAATGTGTAAGAAAATAATAAATAAAATGGCAATGACATGATTAATTTGACAACAATTGAATGGAAAATCAAACTGTGAAGTTGATGGAGTGCGTAATTTGGTCATATTTAAAAATGTTAGGTTCATATTGATAAAATTAAAACCCCAGAGCCCATTTTGATAATGACCATAAACCCGAAAGGAGTAAAATATAGTTAATCCTATTTTAAACTAACAATGAGTATCATTGAAACAATTGTGGCAATGCACTAACATTAGGTGTCATGTAAACTGTCATAAGAATGCACTGTGGGTGTCACAAAAACTTTCGTGGCAATGCATAATTTTCATTTCACATGATTCTCATGTATTTATATATATATAACAAAAGCTAGAGAATGGTAAAACATTTAAAATACCAAAAAATTCTCATGGTTAATGCAAACATTAAGAATTGAAATTATTAATTAAATGAAGATAATATGGTAAATTCACACTTTTTCATATTAAAAAAAATTAAAATTAAAAGAAAAATCAGATAATGCATCCTATTTTTGTGAAACACAACTATCCATTATCTTTTTTAATTCTAAAATAAATTTAAATTTTTTATAAAAAAAAGTCTCTCGTAGGTGCAGAAGCACTACGAAGAGGCTAGTGTTCTTTAATATAGGAAGTCATTTCTATATATTTCTATATGACCAAAATACCCTATATGTATGATTATTTCTCTATGCCCGACGATTTGTCTAATTTTTTGTAAGGATGATCTATGAATGAAGACCTAAAAATAGATGGTTTGGATCATTGGAAAAAAAATTGTAGGGTACCCTAAAGAGCGTCCCTCAAATAAAATTATTTGAGGGATCTCTCAATAGAAGGGGACTGTATATATATATATATATACAGAGAGCTTCCATTGAGGAATCCCTCAAATAAGCTTATTTAAGGGACATCTCTTGTAGGCCCTACTCCAGATTGTATTTCACTAATCTAAACCGTCTATTTTGTACATACTCATTCAAAGATCATCTCTACAAAAAATTACTTGAATTCGATATCATTTGACTACTCATTTGAGTTATATAAATTTTAGTACTTTTTTGAAGCATCGTGTTCATTGATTTTGTAATACACAATTGGATGTCGAAACGGTTTCCGATTTGTCTAATTTTTTGTAAGGATGATCTATGAATGAAGACCTTAAAAATTAGGGGTGGCATTTTAGACCGAAAAATCGAAAAATCGCAAAAACCAACCGACTATTTACCGCAATGAAACCGCGATCGCGGTAAACCGAACCGCATTTGCGGTATGAAGAACCGAACCGCATTTGCGGTTGCGGTTGCGGTATTTGATTTTCAAAACTTGCGGTCACCGCAAACCGCAAAGTATAGCCACTCTATGTTGTTTTATTTGATTTTCTTATAATAAAATATACTAAACTATGTTGTTTTATTTGTAGATAGCATTGATGCTCAAACAACACAACAATGTTCTTCAAATCCACTCACCACCAACGCTTGAGTTTGTAACATTGATGCATTGCATTTTTCTT